TTAATGAACATGAATAATAAATTGAATATCAATAATGAATTAAATCTGGGAAATTCTATATTGCATTTTTCATAAGAGTGATGTAGGTTAATGTAACTTGGTCTTAAGACAGTTTTGTTTTTGTCAATTTCATTTAAATAGCTCTATCCAGTGATAAAGATAATGACTTAACACAGAATGGAAAGAGCCCTAAGTACTTTTTTGTTTGTTATTTTTTAAAAAATATTTTATTTTTATTTTATATATATATTATCATGTGTATTGCCTGCATGTTGTTTAAGTGCACCTGTGCTGTGCATTGCCCACAGAGGTCAGCAGAGGGTGTTGGATTTCCCCTGGAACTGGAGTTACGGACTGTCTTAAGCTGCCATGTGGGTGCTGGGAATGAAACCTGGGTCCTCTGCAAGAGCAGCCAGTGTTAACTGCTGAGCCCTCTTTCTAGCCCCTGCTTTTGTTTTTTGAGATAGGGTATCTCTGTGTGTCCCATACTGGCCTCAAACTTACCCATCCTTCTGCTTCATCATCCCAAGTGCTTCTAACTTAAATGTGTCCTTCCCTAATCACCCAGATGAATTCTGCATGTTTTCTCATGGGGCATAGATAATTTTATATCTATATATAATATAGATATAGATATAGATTATATATATGAGAATGGTAGCATTGATTTTTGTAGCAAAATCAATTCATTTGCTATTTATGTATTAATTTCTAAAAAGAAGCAACTAAGGTTGCTTCACATTTTTATTCTACTTGCTACTGTATTTGGCCAGCAAAATTAGTTTGTGTTTATAGTTAAGCTGTATTACTTTAGCATTAACTCATGCTTCAGTGAGGAAATATTGAAAATACAAGTTTCTTTTTTTTTTTTTTGGTCTTTTTGAAGGAGGGTCTCTCTGTAGCCCCAGCTGTCCTGCAACTCACTTTGTAGACACAGGCTGGCCTTGAACTCACAAAGATCCACCTGCCTCTGCCTCCCAAGTGCTTGGGACTACAGGCATGCGCCACCACACTGCGCCACCACACCCGGCACAAGTTTCTTTTTTATAAAATAACATTGCTTGAAAGCCAGATGTGGTGGCGCACACCTTTAGTCCCAGCACTCAGGAGGCAGAGGCAGGGGGATCTTTGTGAGTTCAAGGCCAGCCTGGTCTGCCTAGAGAGCTACAGAACAGCCAGGGATATAGGGAGACCCTGTCTCCAGAAAAGACAGGAAAAAAAAAAATTGCTTGAGATATTGTATAATTTTTAAATCTCCTGTGCAGAGCGGATCTGCTTTAGGGAAAAATCTTCTGAATGCATTCATATTTTCAAGAACTTCACAGTAGCAACTACATCCTTTCAAGTGCTGGGGCTAATCCTGCCTGCAAAGATGTTAAATGTGGTTTAGACTTTATTCTCTTTTTCCTAGTGAGAGGACCTGGTGTCCCAAAAAGGGAGACCTTTGTCTTTTGGAGTTAGGAAGTTATAAAAGAGGTTTCTGGGTGGAAAAAATCATAAAGGCTATATCTAAATCCAAAAATTCAGATGGGGCTTTGCCTGTAAATTAAAGTTAATGTAAAAGAACAGTCAGAATTGTTTGGAGATGGGGGGAAAACTGCCTTTCCAGTTTCCCGGAACTGAAAGGCAAGCACTCACATTTAGGTGGATGACCATGTAAGGTAGAGTTGCAGGGCTGGGTAAGTTTAAAGAGGAGCTGTGAGTCCCCTATCGAGGGGTGGGCCTATATATCCTTGATATTTTTTTTTGTTGTTGTTTTGTTTTTCCTAAATGTCTATGATTCGGTAAAGTGGAGTTACAGATGGCTTTGAGCTGCCATGTGGGTCCTGGGGCGTAAACCCAGGTCCTCTGCAAGAGTAGCAAGTGCTTTTAACCTCACTTCTGAGCCATCTCTCTAGTCCCCATTCACAATTTTCTAATGCAAACAAGTATCTTGGTTGTTTGCTTGTTTGTTTGAGACAGGGTCTCCCTGTACCTCAGCCTGCCTGGAACTCACTATGTAGACCAAGCTGGCCTTGAACTCACAGAGTTCCGCCTATCTCTGCCTCCTGAGTGCTGGGATTATAGGCATGCATACCACGCCTGGCATGATTTTTTTTGTTTTGTTTTGTTTTTGTTTTTTAAACTAAAACTTCAGTACATTTTCAGTTCAAAACTATTTGATAACTTTGGTTTGGTTCACAATTCTCACTATAACAGTGTGTGGCTCTGAGTCAACCACAGATTTCATTCATAATCTGTCAACTACACAGATGTTTGGGGACTGAGCATGCCAGCATGTCCAGACTTGGGGCTGCAGAATTTAAAAGCAGACTGCACAGATGGTCGTAAAAGTGCTTCTTGAATTGTGTTCATTTGTTTATTTGTATAATTTGAAGGGAGATCAGAGAATAGCTAAAACTTAACCAAACTTTAAATCTCACAGATGTCTGTGCATCAACTAAACCTACTCATCATTAGCAAATTAACCAAAGATGTCACACAGTATAGCAGTTTGCATGGCAGATTGTGCTTAGCTAATACGTATCCATGGATCCATGCAATAAAGGTTAGATTCTTTCTTTGTTTTTACAGATTACAGTCTCACTCTGTAGCTCAGGCCACCCTCCAACTCAAGATAATCCTGCCTCAGCTTCCCAAGTGCTAGGATTATATTTGTGATCCACTACACCCAGCTTTTTAAAAAATGTTTGTTTTTTTTTTTAATTTTATGTGTATGAGGGTACTCCCTGCATGTATATAAGTACACCCGTGTCATGCAATGCCTGTGGAGGTCAGAGAGGGCATCAGATCCCCTGGAACTGGAGCTAAGGATGGTTCGTAGCCGCGATGTGGGTGCTGGGAATAGAACCTGAGTCCTCTGTAAGAGCAGTCAGTGCTCTTAATGGCTGAGCCATCTCCAGCCCCCAAGACTGAGATTTCATCTAGTCATTTCCAACTATGAGTCGACACTTCCCTTTAACTCTTTCGAGAAACTCCAAGATCATATTGCTTCCCAGATACTTAAGAGTTCCTGTTGATGTATAGCGCTGTTTATAGTCCGCCAGCACCAGAAATTGGCTCCAGCCATTTTCCCATTACATCATTACCCACTAATGCCATTACACCAGAGTGAAATCTGCTTTGAAGTCTGTACTCCTGTTCTTCTTCCATTTTTCCCACCTCATTTTCTTTAAAAGGAAAATAGAAAAAAAAGTGTATCCAAGACTTGACGCACTCTTAAACATTAGCAGTGACTAGAACACCCTCAGTTTAAACATAGATTTATCCACTCCTCTCATTCCACTCTGATAGTGGAGAGTGACCTGCCCAACATGTATCCACAGGAAACCTAGGGAGTTACACATTTGGACATGTGATACCTGGCTTTGGTACTTTACTTTTAGCACCTCAGAATTAGTTCTAATTGATTTACATAGCTCTCTACCTATTGCCTGTCATTCACATGTTAGATCTTTTCAAATAATCCCTACAATAGAAATTCTTAGGCTATCCTGAAGTTTCTCATCCTTTGTTAAACTGTTTGATGGGTTTAAGTGTTTGCCAAGTAAATATTTAAGCCATCTGAAGGTAGCTTTGTTTGTTTTTTAGCACTTTGTCTCTGTAGATCTTTTATTAAGACATAACAATATTATCCACAGTTAAAGCTAATGTGGGAATGTTTTCATCTTCCTTACTTTGTCACAAAGCAATTGACCAAATGCAGGCTCTGACCCTTCTCTGTATTTGGATGTTTTGTTTTGTTTTGTTTTTTGAGACAGGGTAGCCCCAGCTATCCTGAAACTCAGTACGTAGGCCAGGCTGACCTGGCCTTGAACTCATAGAGATCCGCCTGCCTCTGGCTCCTGAGTGCTGGGATCAAAGGCATGCGCCACCATGCCTGGCTCTATCCTGGTTTTAATTGGCCATGATTCTTAACTATTTTTGTTTTGTTAACATTTATTTTGTGTGTGTCTGTGTATAGGCACATAGCATGCTTGTGGAGGTCAAAGAACAACTTACGGGAGTTAGTTTTTTCCTTCCGCTGTGTAGGTCCTGGGGATCAAATTGAAGTCATCAGGTTTGGCAGCAAGTACCATTACTCCCCCAGCCGTCTGGTGGCACGATTTTATTTTTTGAGAAAGGGTCTTCTGTAGCCCAAGCTGGCTCAAGACAATTTTGCCAAAGCTGACTGTGAATTCATTCTCCTGCTCTGCTTCCCCAAGTGGGTAGGATTATGACTTCAGCTATCTTTAAAGTGTCTAATTGTTGGTATGCTGTGTTTGGCATTGTGTCAAAGCAAAGTTTGGGTTAAGTGTTAAAGGAGCGTACATTTTCATTTCAGAGACTTCATAACTGCTCACTCAATTACTGGCCTGCTTCTTAACACTTTGAATGTCCTTTAGATTTACCTCAGGTAGGTAAAGAATAATAGTCATCAGTAGCTCCAGAGAAGTAGGGTCTCAGTATCAACAAAAGAAAAAGGGGGCGGGGGAATGTTGCTATTTTTTTCAAGCTCTTTAGATTTCTGTTCAATACTAATTATGAGAAAGAGTCCTTAATATATTTTCTGCAGGCTCTGGAATGGAGTATGAGAAACTGTAGGTGAGGTAAAAGCTTTGAAGAGAATAACTTTGAAAATTATGGATTTGACTAGGGTAACAGAATGCTTTTCCTGCCCCTCTGGAACATTAAAGCTTCTTATTCACATTAGAATTTCAGTTGGGATTTCTCTAAACTTTTGGTTTTCTAAATTGGAGCTCCTTGATAGTCAGTGGTATAAGAAGGAAAAACTTGGCTAGAGATGTTTTGTCTGCCCAAAACATCTGCCCTTGTTGGCACAATATATACTTTATTAGACTAAAAATTGAACAATTAGTGAAAACATCAACAAAGATAGAAACAGCTAACCTGGACAGCAAGTATGACATTATTATTATTATTACTAGTCTTTTTGGGACAGGGTCTCCCTGTTGGACTTTATTATTTTTAATGTGTCACATGTCTATGTGTGTTTTCAGTGACCGAAATGTCCACAGAAGGAGCGTTTGGTGGTACCAGCAGCAGTGATGCCCAGCAGAGCCTCCAGTCCTTCTGGCCTCGAGTCATGGAAGAAATTCGGAACTTAACAGTGGTAAGGAAGAACATGAGAAGCTTCTATATGAGGCAACTACAGGGAAGTCATTTATGACTTCGTTGCTGTCTCAGTACATACTCTGACTTGAAGATAGTCTAATGTGAGGCACATCTTTTAGGGAATGTGGAAAGGCAGAGATCTTACATTCCTTTTAAGAAATATTTTTATTTGCTGGGCTTGGTGGTGCATGCCTTTAATCCCAGTACTCGGGAGACAGAGGCCGGCGATCTTTGGGAGTTCAAGGCCAGCTGGGGCATGCACAGGTGCACTTTTCATACAAGCAGGCAAAACATTCATACACATAAAATAAAAATAAATAAAAAGAATTAAAATTTTAAACATCCTCCCCTGTTGAGAACTACTGACTTAGAAGAATCAAATATAACCCCACCTTTGAGGAGAATACAGTATTGTCATTAAACTAGAGTAATTTAGTCAGTAGGTATTTGCATAGTAATTACTGGCACAGTCACAGCGGTAAGTCCCTGAAGCAGGAAAAGGGAAAGTGATGTGGGAGCTAGTGTCCATTTCTCTCTGGTTGAGCTAGAAAAGGTTTTAAATAAGGACAGCATTTGCTGCAAATCCTGATGACCTGAGTTCAATCCCTGGAACCTACATCTTGGAAGGAGAGAACTAACTTTGAAAAATTGTCCTCTTGCCTCCACATGTGTTCTCTGGCGTACATAGACCCTCCCTCAAATAAATAAATGCTTTAAAAAAAAAAGCCTTAAAAATAAATGAGGGAAGCCAGGCGTGGTGGCATATGCCTTTAATCCCAGCACTTGGGAGGCAGAGGCAGGCGGATCTCGGTGAAACCCTGTCTCAAAAAAAGACCAAAGGAATAAAAAAAGGAAAAGGACAGCACAGCATGTTAATTGGGTCTTGAAATGCAAGTGAACATTCACCAGATGGATAGGGTGGGAGAATAATACCATAGGCAGCAAAAAGAGCATCTGCAAAGACTTGGTAGCCCAGAGAAGAGACCCTTATGTTAGGGGAGGGGCAGAGAGAGAGGGAGGGAGGGAGGGAGGGGGAGAGAGAGAGAGGGGAGAGAGAGAGAGAGAGAGAGAGAGAGAGGAGAGAGAGAGAATATGCTCATGCAGAGGCCAGAAGAGCGAGTCACATTCCCTAGAATTGGAGTTACAGTTGTGAGCCACCCAGTGTGTGTGGTAGGAACCAAACTCCAATCTTCTGCAAGAGCAGCAAGCGCTCTTAAACACTGAGCTATCTCTCCAGCCCTTCATAATGCATTTAAAGATCTATCCATGTTGTATCATGTGATAAGATTTCCTTCTTAAGGTAGAATAATGTGCCATGGTATGTATATAACACATTTTGTGTACCCATTCATCTATTGATGAACACTTGAGTTACCTCTGTCTCTTGCCTAATTTGAATAGTGCTACTATATACATGGTTGTGCAGGTATTTTGTTGAGACTCCGGGCTTGAGTTTTTAACATACTTGGTTTACTTTTAAAGTTTGATTGCCAGCAAAGCAGATTGTGATGCTGATTAAATTTTAGTACCCAGAAATCTTCATCTGACAAAGGTTTAAAAAGGATAGATTTAGGGCTGCCTAAGATGGCTCACCAGTTATGAGCACTGACTGCTCTTGTAGAGGACCTGGGTTTGGTTCCCAGCATCCACATGGCTAACAGCTTAACTTTAGTTCCAGGGGATCTGAGGCCTTCTTTTTTTTTAAAATATTTTATTTATTATTTTTTTGTGTATGAATGTATTGCCTGCATGTATGTGAGTGCACACATGTTGTACAGTGCTGCGGAGGTCAGAAGAGGGCTTTGGATTCTCCTAGAACTTGAGTTAAGGACGGTTCATAGCCGCCATGTGGGTGCTGGGAATTGAACCTGGGTCCTCTGCAAGAGTAGTCAGTGCTCTTAACCGCTGAGCCATCTCTCCAGCCCCAATCTGAGGCCTTCTTACATCTGTGGGCATTGCATGCATGTGGTGCACTTACATGCAGGCAAAACACTCATACACGTAAAATAATAACTTTTTAAAATTTTCTATTTATTATTTTTATTTTAGTGTATGAGTATATTGCCTGCATGTATGTAAGTGCACCTGTGTTGTTCAATGCCTGTGGCGGTCAGAAGAAGGTATTGAATTTCCTTGGAACTGGAGTTATGGATAGTTGTTAGCCACCATGTGGATGCTGGGAATCAAACTCGGGTCCTCTGCAAGAGCAACCAGTGCTCGTAACTGATGAGCCATCTCTCCAACCCCTAATTTTTTTTAAGAACCAATTTCTTAAGGAACTTAGTTCCAGGTTTCATGGGTAAAGAGAAAGAAATGTGAAAAGGAAGTTAGTAGTTAGTTGTCTTTATTCATTCTTCCATCGATGCATAACTAAAGTTTTCTTCTTATATAGCACTGGAAAAGATTTCTTAAGTCGCTACTGTGCTGAGACATCTGCTTATAAGAATGACTGGGATTAGACCGGGCATGGTGGCACATGCCTTTAATCCTAGTACTCGGGAGGCAGAGGCAGGTGAATCTCTGTGAGTTCGAGGCTAGCCTGGTGTACCTTCCAGGCCAGCTGGGGCTACAGGGAAACCCTGTCTCAAAAAAAAAAAAAAAAAAAAAAAAAAGAGAACGGAACTTTAGTTAGTACTTGTGACTACAGCACCTGAAAACATCTGCATCTCTTGACTATACCTCTTCCTGTGCAGCATTTGAGCACTTTCTCTGTGCCTTTCCAGGATTCGGTGGTACTTTAAATCAGACTTTTGGCAGAAGGGAGTTGAAATAGGTCTTGTTGTATATCCTTGGCCCATTAAGTAGACCAGGCTGGTCTTGAACAGTAATCCTACTGCCTCTGCCTCTCGAGTGCTGGCATTACAGAAGTGTACCACCATATCCAAAATAAGGTATGACTTTTCCAGATATATCAGCGCCTCTTAGGTTAGTACTTCAAAATATTGAACAGATTTTTAAACAATCCATAATGCTTAAACTGAGCATAAGTAAAACAAGAATATTTGTTTGGGAAAAAAAAAAGTAGTGTGGTCTAAGAGTGGATGGAATTCACGTTGTTTGAAAAACAAGTAATTGAAGTTTGACAAATGATTATTTCATGATATATAGAGTATACTTGGCCTTAATCATTTTGGTCTGAATCCTATAAAAACCATTTATCTTTCATTTCAACTTGACGATCATGTTCCCTCACTCTTTTTTGTTTGATGTTTGGGTTTTTTGGTGGCTTTTTTTTTAGACAAGGTCTCACTATGTACTCTTGGCTGGCCTGGAATTCGTAATGTAGACGACCAGGCTGGTATCAGATTGATGGGAGATCTGCCTGCCTCTGCCTCCTGAGTTCTGGGATCAAAGGCCTGTGCCACCACGGCTGACATGGCCTCTCACTTTTAAAAGCTGTCTTAATTGTCCATGAACCTAGCTATTCATTCACCTGGGGTTAAAGTTGGTTAAAAATCATAACAAAATGATCATGTATCCCCAGCAATTACATAAAATATTACATATTCCTGTTCAGCAAAGCTCTAGGAACAGTAACAGATTTTTTCCTCCCTTTTAAAATGGTTCCAGGTTCCAATTTAGGATCCCCTTATACATACTAGGCAGTGCTTTTCCACTGAGCTACACCCTTAGTCCTTGGATTTTTCAGTCAGGCTCCCTCTCTCTTCCTCTTCATCCCCCTTCCTTCCTTTTGGCCTTAAATTCTTGATCTGCCTGTCTGTAATCCCCAAATACTAGGATTACAGGCATTCAATACCACTGGTGCTAATTATTGACATTGAATTTTATAATTATCTGGACGACTTTGGAAGTGGAGAAACCTAACTCAGTGTGTTTGGGGTGAGTAGTGTGTGTGGGAATAGGTGGGAATGGTGAGGATGCTGAATTTGAAGAAACCTAATCCTCCCCCGACTTAGTCTCTACATCTTATTTGGCCTTCAGTTAGCTGTAATTTAATAGCGAAGTCATTTTCCTTTAATTAACAGCTGCTTTTTATTCTTTTGTGCCTTCAGTTTCAACAATGATATTTCTAAATATGACAGTTAAATCATGCAGCCATTTAAGCTAGAGTTTGGTGGTGAAGGATGGACTGTCAAAAAACAGGCTCTGTGCTGTGTGAGCCCTTCCTGTAGAGATCTTTAAAAACAATTGTGTGAACCATAGGAGGGTGGCCCTTGTTAAAATTGATTCTGATTTAGTAGTCTGAAGTGGAGCCTGAGATTGCATTTCTTTTATATGCTCAAATAATGCCGTTACTGGTCTAAGGATGCCATTTGAGTAGCAAAGCTTTGTTAAGGAAGTGACCCATAACCCTCCCTCTTGGTCATAGTTATCAAGGGAATTTTCAAAACACCTGATGCCAGGACTCTACCCTTGGAGTTCCTGATTTGGTTAGTCTGGGGGCAACCCAGGCATCTTGATTATCCAAAGCTTCCCAGGCAATTCCAAAGTGAAGCCAAAGATGAAAATCACTACTTTTGGCTTTCTGGAGTATCTCAGTGAGTTAATTGGAAGAGATTTTTATTACACAAAACTCTTGATTCTTTAGTGCAGCCTAAAGAACTTGCTGACTTCATTGGCTTCCATCTTTTGCTGTATAAATTCAAGTCTCTCGAAACTTGGCACTTTCACATGGCAGCATTTTATATATAGTTCTTAGACTGTAGTCTGGAGCATGAGAATGGTCAGAGAGAACCTGCTCTTTAGTGGACTGTAAGACTCCTAAAAGTAGAGGGGAAAAGGAAGTCTATGTCAGTTCTTCCTCTTGAGTCAATGAGGAGATGAGGTGTCAAATACTGTTCACATTCTTATAGTATTGCTAGTGACATGGGCAGCAGCACCTTAAAGTCATTGTAGTGGGCTTCATTCAGCATGCCAATAGTGGAGAGGGTCCACTTCCTGCAAGCTTATTTTGAGCTCATGTGTGTCTAGAAAACTAGGATAGGATTATAGAAAACAAAGCTGTTGCTGGGAACAATTAACCTCATGCCCAAACCC